TTGTGCCTAATGCAACATCACAATGTTTAAACACGAACACTGTTGCTGTTTGTTGTTGGCCATTTGTCACTTAGTATAAATTCTGGCCTTTTATAGCATGTAGAGTCCCCCAAAAACTATCAGGACCCTATTGTGTAAGATGCTGGAAAAAGTAGTAAAGAAAAAACAACTTAGGGCCCCAAATCCTTCAAATACTTACACGTATGAGTAGTTTAATTAAGAAACTGTTTATTCCAAAATGCCTTTGTCCCACTGCTTGATAGTATGTTGTTACGTGTCCACACTGATTATTTTTTTTTTTACTACCCCCTGATTTTTACAGAGAATTTGGGGCTATCCAAAACCTTAATAAAAGTATATTTCTATTACTTTTGTTTCATTGGGACATAACACTTGTAAAGGCCTGATCTGATGCTTTTGGAATCAGTGGGAAGGCTCCAGTGGGCTTTGGATCAGACCCAAAGTGCACAGGAAACTCTTTTCTTTAGTTTTTTTTCTTTTTTTCTACCAGAAGTATTTCTCAGGGCAATACGAACTAATGAGCTGACCAGAAGCAGACTTTGTCTTTTTACCCATCATGACAGTGATTGATCTAGGGAGAGAAATCTCTAGGAGATGTGATAATATCTCTCTAAAGCATATTGCCCTGAAACACAACTAGGTTCTTTTTATAGCTTCCTTATTGTCACTGTAAAAAAAAAATGTTGCAAATGATGCTTCCTCTCTCAAACTGTTTATGGCAGCATATTCTCAGAGGGTGATGAAATGTATGTGCCTTTCAGTGAATGAACTTTTCTTGTAACAATTACTGTGGAACATGAAAGGAATTTTGAGGAACTAGTGCTATACAATTTGGTACTACCGGTGTTCAGGAGGTGGGAGGAGATGTGGCAGTTTTGCCATAAGCAGATTTCAGAAGCTTTAAGATTCATTCTTTTAATACCAGTTTTATCATTCAGATACATGAACTATGTTTTCTTTCAGTTAGGATATTAGTTGTAAAAAAATAAAAATATTTAATCTCTGCCTCTTGGAGCCCCTCCATATAGATTTAAATCCAAATCTTTGGGTGTTGCTGACCAATATTGTCCTGTTGTTTCCTTGTAACCCTCCCCCTCTCCCCCGCGCAGCAGTCTGTCTGCATTTATCTGTTGTCTCTTTGGGGCAGGCTCCATATTTTGTTTGTATGGCACCTAGTACAGTGGGGTCCTTGACCTTGACTAAGGATCCTAGTCATGGTAATACAAATAAATAATAACTTTTATGGTGTTTATACCTGCCCAAGCACCTATAATTCTGGAATTGGAATTGCAGTAGTAGATGATAGGTATTTTCAGATGTATGATGCTATACCTACAACTTCACAGTCTTCCTAAGGTTTTCTGGTGAAAATGACTCAAATACTTTGGGATCATTTGTGGGTAGGTACCGGTAAAGACATAGGTATGAAAATCCACACTGTGAGAAAACTGGGCACTTTGATGTTTGCACCATGTACAACACCTTGCGCCACCCCCCCCCCGCCCTGCGGCAGCCCCCCCCCCCCCCTCCCCCCCGACGCCCCCCCCCCCACGGCAGCCCCCCCCCGTCATAGTTCCCCCCCCCCGGCCTGGGGACCCGTGTGGCAGCTCCCCACCCCAGCTCACCTCTGCTCCGCCCCCGCCCCGAGCACGCCGCCCCTGCTCTAATTCTCCTCCCCTCCCAGGTTTGCGGTGGCAAACCGCTGATTGGCGCCGCAAGCCTGGGAGGCAGGAGAAGTGGAGCGGCCGGTGCGCTGGGAGAGGGAGTCTGAGCCGCACGTGTCAGCGTGCCCCCGGCAGCCCAGCCCAGGAACGCTGTAAAAAAAAATTGGGGGCACCGCTTCTTGGTGCCCCCAAATCTTGGCGCCCTAGGCAACCGCCTAGTTTGCCTTACTGGTAGCACCAGCCCTGACCATGTACCATCTTCTTGGATGTCACTCAAAATGTTGCACACCCATTTTATTGTGATCTGTGGAATTTTATGTTGTCTTCACTTTAAGTATTATATTGCTCTTTGTCCCCAAATTTAAGGGTTCTGTAGTGCTCTAGACTTGCTGTTACGTTGCTTGGCAATTCTGTTTCCAATAATAAGGAACATGAGAATTATGCTAAAATATTTAAATACCTACTTTTTTCACAAAGATTCATATCTGTATATGGAACTTGCCTAAACCCTGACATAGGAGGCATTTCTTCTCTACTGTTAGTCTCCCTTTGTAAATTCATGTGCCACATATCCCCCCACAATGGAGGCAGGAGCGGGATACTATTCTATATATTGTAAAAGGTGACAAGGAGTCCTGTGGCACCTTATAGACTAACAGAAGTACTGGAGCATAAGCTTTTGTGGGTGAATACTCGCTTCGTCAGACGCATGCTTTCATTACAATAGTGCCTAGATTCTCTACCGAGTACCAGGGCCCCATTTTGCTAATATCGTCTCCACATCTATTCATGAGATTGCCTACAAACAAGACAATTGGTACAAGTTCATTAAAAAGAGGAATTATTTTTATTCAGACTGCTTAATATTTTAATTTGCCATTAACTCATATTTAACTAAGCACTGGAAAGAAGAGCTTTAAAACAACAAAAACAAAACAAAAATCACCTAAGGATTTAAGCAGTCCACATCTCTAGGTTTTTATCTACGGCATAACCAGGAAAACCAAGACTTGATATCAAGGAGGAAAAGGCAAGGAAAGAAAAATGTAAAAATCAGAAACTTTCAGACCTTTATGTATAATAAGAAGCAATAAAAGACACTCACCAATGGTGTCATAAATATAAAGAAAAGGGTAGCATAAAATCCCTCCTTGGCAGCTGTACTGAATCGCTTTACCTGTAAGGGGTTAAGTAGCTCAAATCACCTAGTTGGCACTTGACCAGAAGGACCAATGAAGAAAGAAGATACTTTCAAATCTGGGGGTGCGAGGGGGGAGAATTTGTTTGTGGCTCTCTTTGTTTGTTCCCTCTCTGGACGGAGGGAGAGACCAAGCAGGTACAACATCTCCTGAAAATATACCTGGAATGATCCATCTAAAATAACAGAAATTGTAAGTAGGCAAGGAAATGCATTAGGTTATCTTTTGTTTTATCTTGTGAATTTTCCCTATGCTAAAGAGGTAGTTTCATTTCTGTTTTGTAACTGTGAAGCTGAGTCCAGAGGGGAGTCCTGTGTGTTTTAAATCTTTTTATTTACCCTGTAAAGTTACCTTCCATCCTGATTTTGCAGGTGTGATTCTTTTACTTTTTCTTTATAAATAAAGTTCTTCTTTTAAGAACCTGATTGATTTTCAGTGTCCTAAAGAGAAAGGATTTGGTCTGTGCTCACATTGCTAACCAATTGGTTGGTATATTATTCTCAAGCCTCCCGAGGAAAGGGGGTGAAAGGGCTTGGGGGGATATTTTGGGGGGATAGGGATTAAAAGTGACTCTTCCCTGAATTTTTGTATAAATCACTTGGTGGTGGCAGCAATACCGTCCAAGGACAAGGAAAGGAATTCGTGCCTTGGGGAAGTTTTAACCTAAGCTGGTAAAATATAAGCTATGGGGGACTTTCATGTGGGTCTCCACATCTGTACCCCAGAGTTCAGAGTGGGGGGGAATCCTGACAGATGGTTTCCACTTGAAGTTGCCTTTAGTATAGTATTTGCATTCGCCTCATACATGAACCTGACTACTAATTCTTGATCAATAAAATAGGAGTGAAACTTTCCACTAAATGTTTA